CTCAATACTATTGAAAGTTAAAAAAAATATATCAAGGTACAACGCATGACATTTATCTCACTTAATAACCTCTATAAATTATTAATGATCTGCTGCAGAATCTTTAATAAAATAATTTTAGTTGAAAGGATCTTACTAGTACCTTCTCCTATTTATTATCTTTTTGAGTACTATTTCTTATGAGCACCAGATTATCAAACACTATCTTACTGGTTTTGCTAACTCAGATGCAGGAAGCTCCATATGATATAGAATATTTTTTAACAGAATGATAAAAATTTTCTGATACGAAAGACAAGTATAGATAAAAAAATTGATAATGGTAGCTAAAGAGGATTTATGCTCCAAGATGAAGAGAGCGACTTGATCGGAAAATTTATGAGATTCTTGATGGTTTAGTAGTTCGTATTATCTACAACATTCACTTGTTCTTATAGGTATAAATTAATTAATTATAAAATAAAAGTATATGATTAGTTGAAGGTTAAGTACAAAATGGACTCATACCTATCTAATTGAAGAGAATAAGAACCTTGTAATGACGTCACATTGATCAGATTAGGATGGCAAATGTGAATCGATATTGATAAGCGAATATGTAAGTGTTTGATTTACGTTAAAGCTGTAATGATTTGATTACAAATGATATGTTTTTAATTCCTTGTGAAGTTTGTCCTCCATTACTGACATATACACCATTATACATAAAGAGAGTTGGCACTATGTGGGGGGAGCTACGTTTTCTTAACCTAAAAATCATAAAATGGAATTAATTAAATTCCTTTTGCTTATAGAAAGAGACTACTTTCTTTTTGAAGAAAAGTATTTTTACAGAATAAAGAAATGGGATGACATTGACATTTAACTTAAATATGTTTTAAAAATAAAAAGAATAATTTTTAAATACAAAATAAAATATATATATATATCTGTATATTATATGTTTTTAATTACGTAAAACAAAATGTAATTAGAGCTTTGAAATTAAGTAGATGCAGAAATAATGATTAGCAACAAGACTATGTTAATTATGAATTAAAGTCATAAAAGTTATGAGAATTTAACTAAAAAATTATGAACTTAAATAAGAACAAGAGTGTCGTTAATTGTTTTATTTTACTTGGTTGGTGGTATATATACATCACTTTGAGTAAAAAAAAAATATAATAAAATATGTATCGTTTTTTTTATATATATTTATATTAAAAATTAGATTTTTTTTTTATAAAAAAAATTATAGAAATTTAACTCATAATTTAAGAAAAATTACCATGAACTTTTAATGGTAAATAATTATAGAATATATGAGGTTAAAAATTATAATATAAAGTTATAATTATTTAATATAAAACATAAAGATATTTTTGTAGAAGATTATTATTATAATCTCTCACTATCTCAATCATGTCTATCAGTCAACTTCCATGTGACCTTTTTCTATTTGTTTGCTTGCCTCCATTAATCCTCATAGCTTCTCCGTCTATGGTGACTTCACCATCATCACGTGTCAATTAGGTATATATATATATCCTACCAGTGTAATTATTATATATATATATATCATATTTAGTCTTATAACATTTGAATGATTAACTTCAAAACATTTCAAGATTTTTACTATTAATTAATAATTCTTAAACATCTATGATTTAAAGAAAAAAAAAAACAAAAACAAAAAAAAAGCATATTTGATGCCAGCAGATTGATAAGGCACAAAATAAACGGGCGCATAACACGTTTAATTAATTGATAATCAAGGTGCGTTTTAATTAATTAATCCAAAAAAAAATCTTTAAAATCTATAATTTTTATATCTTTAATCAAGATTAATTGATTAAGCTGCCAGCCCTGAAGAACAAACAGTAACTAGAAATTATTTGCAGATTAATCTTGAGGAATTTGGTATTTTTTTTTTTTAACTAAGAATAATTAATTTATAAACTAATTATATATTAATGAATAATTACTATTTAGGTTCATAAAACAAAAGCGAAGGATGACTATTTTGCATTATTACTTGAAGAAATTAGTGAAGTCTCATCAGTGAATAAAATGATGAGCATGAGAGGACAAAAATAATATTCTTAATTCCCTTCTTCTGTTGTAAGCACATTCTCCAACACGAAAAGGCACACGTGCATATATATATATATGTGTGTGTGTGTGTATATACATCGTATACATATAAATATAGTGAAATGATTGAAGTTATTTTGATTTTTTGCATGGCTTCATTTTTGTGGTCATTCAGATATCATATATACTCATCAAAAGATAACAGTAGTACTTTATACTCTATTCCGGATAGACATGTAATTGATAAATTAATCATGTTGAAAAAAAAAAACATATATATATATATATGTTAATTAATTTAAAATTTTAAAAATAAGATATATTAATCAGGACTAATTTTTCTCTTCATATTCTGCCCTTTGGAATCTCGTTTCTGTGTTGTTATGAATGGGACAAATCCAAAGTTTTCATTAAATTAGTTTAACTAAAATTGTAAAAAAAAAAATTTCTAAAATGAAGAATAATGACCACATAAAAAATTTCGTATCGGATTAAAATAATGAAAATCAAATTTCATCAACTAATTCTACATGAAATCATATATTTGTTTTAATTTTTTTTTTTCGTTTTAGTACAATTTACAACTTCTCAGAATTAAAATAGTTGTAGATTTACAAATAAATTCTATAATATTTCTAAATTTATTTTGAACATAATCTTATATATGAATAATATTTAACTAATCCAAGTGTAATTAGTTGACGTCAAATAACAAATTTTAGACTATTTTGGTAAATAGGATAAAATATATAATGAGAAGTGGGATCAATCAATGTTAATTTGCTTTGTGAATGGTAGACAACTTGATTGTAATTTGGTTATAAATGAAATTAAAGGACGACGAAAAGCAAAAGGAAGGGAATGAAAGAGGGCCCTTTCTAAAGTAGACTTTAACACAACTAGATGACCTTTTATTAGCTTTTTTTTTTATTAAAAGAATGAACATTGAGAATGAATAATAAACGTGAATGATCTTTTGCATCTTTATGTTGTCATGAAAAATTCTTATTAATAGATCAGACTAGTTTACGTTAAGGAAAGAACTTAAATAAGGAGATTTATTACTAGGTCTATCTTCATTGTGAAAGTGATATATAGAACTATTTCGAAATTTTTTGTAAATATATTGAATAAGATGAGAGTTTATTACTATGCATATCTCCATATACAATTTTAAAGTTTCTTCCAAATGTATTAAACAAGATCTCTAAAGTCATCGTAAGTAAAAATCAATTTATTTTTATTAAATTAATACAAATTATATATTATGTTATGATTAGAAGTAAATTAGTTCACTAAGTGAAATCTAGTAGAAGAAAATTCGTATAATTCAAACTGGACTTTAAAAAGTTGCTTGACTCTATAAACTAGTTTTACATTCTCCGGTTACTTGATAGAAAATCTTTGGTGATTGTTGGAAGTCATATATACTAAAGAATGTGTTTGGTCAATTTTTATATCTTTTTTAGTGAATAGTTCCTTTATCGATTTTATCATCTTAAAAGATGACTTATACAAAGGGATTTTTTTTTTTTTTTCTTAGTCCCTATAGTTTTGAGGCAAAAATTGAAAAAACTACAAAGAAATTTTCTTTAGGTCACCTTAAAGCATAAAATATGTACTTTATGAATTTGGAAGTCTACCTATATCCAAGTTAGAAAACCACTAAGAAAATAAATCACTTGAAATTTTAAATATAACTTTTCTTTGAAATGGATTTGACGTTTGGATTCAAAAAATAATTCTCTATGGAAAAAAATTATAGCCGCAAAATATAGTTGTTATGAAAATTATTTAACTAATTTTGAAAGAAGCTATTGCTCTATCTGTTGTCTGAAAATAAATTATAAATTTTTTGTTACTTCGTTTTTTGAGGAAATAAGTTTAACAGATCCATTTGAAATTTTTAAACGATGACATTCAATTGACTTATGGATGACATATTATTAAATAATGTAATTTAAAAATATTTTTTAAAGATTTTTGCCCCCTCCTCAAGAGGTTAGAAATATTGACCCTTTTGTGGTTAGAAAAACCTATTTAGGTTTAAAAAGTCTCTTAATTAGAATGAGAACATCTAAAACTCTTTTAAGAGTGAATTAAGTAAAGTTGTAATGAGTTTAAATAATATGGATAAGTTAGTCTCAATAACCATTTTTTAACAGCTAATGAAAATATTTTTCTTTGCGGTTATCAAAACTTATCTCCCTTGTTAGAAACTTTGATAAGGAGTGAGGTTACTCCACTAAAAGAGAATAATTTAAAGTATACTAATTAAATTCTCGATTTTATGAAGCGGCATTAAATTTTTATTTACAGTTTAATTTCAATGTCTAATCTAACATTACCTAAAATCTTATGTCGAATAAACACTAATAAAATAATATTTATTATACGGAATAAACTTATGATACTAAGAATACCATCGTGGGTTAAAATTTTTGACGAAGAATGTTAACATTTGATAAAAACTTATACATAGTTACATTGTGTGTGTTTAAGCAAATGCCCACCACAAATTAATTTAAGTAGTGAGGAACACCACTCGGGCAGATAATTTTTTGGCTTGGCGCAATGGATCACCTCCTTTATTATTTTGGCCTCATTAGTCAGCATCAAAATGGAGAGAGTTTGGTACATTATTCTTTTTTAATATTTTTAGAAAACCCTCCTAATTTTATATATCTTTTTTATTACTATAAATAATTAATCTCAAGAATATTATTAAAAATAGAGTTTCAGTTTATGAGCTAGTGGTAGTGGAGCCCCTAGTCTCTCTTTATTTTAAACCCAAAAAAATATTATTATTATTATTTTTTTAAAGAGAGACGTATTGACATTCCATTGTCCCTCCATTAGATAAAAAAAAAAAAGTATATAAGCAACTACACCCTTGAGCTTCATTTGCACATCAGACCATTTTACTCCTACAACCTTTACATATATATATATATATACATACGCGTATATTTGTCAGCTAGCTGATCGGAGAAGAAGAAGAAGAAGAAGATGGGTTTGGGAAGTAATTATGAAAAGGCTAAGCCATTTCTGGCTGTGGTTTTTATGCAGTTCGGTTATGCAGGCATGTCTATTATAGCCAAATCTGCCCTTAACCAGGGCATGAGTCCTCATGTGCTTGTTGTGTACAGACATGCTATTGCCACTCTTGTCATTGCTCCTTTTGCGTTGGTTTTCGACAGGTCTGATCCTACCTCCTCTACTTACAATATATACATACATATCTTTCTACTAATCACATTTGAGTTATACCTTATAATTATACAGGAAAGTCAGGCCAAAGATGACTACTTCCGCATTCATTAAGATATTTTTCCTTGGTTTACTAGAGTAAGAGAATCAGTTACACCTATTTATTCTATGTGTAGTAAATTATATATATAATAATCTGGGTATTTATAATTTATAATTATAGTTAATTATAGATTAAAAAGTTAATGATGTTTTGTGGTGCAGGCCCACAATAGACCAGAATCTGTACTATACAGGCATGAAGTATACCACAGCAACTTTCACAGCTGCCATGTGCAATGTTCTTCCTGCTTTTGCATTTCTGATGGCATGGGTATTAAGGTAATTAATTAATTAATTTAAATTAACACACTAATAAAAAAATTTAAAGGGTAATTAATAATTTTTTTAAAAAAATTCAGACTTGAGAAGGTGAATATAAGAAGAGTTCATAGCCAGGCAAAGATATTAGGGACAGTGGTGACAGTGGGAGGAGCAATGTTGATGACATTGGTGACTGGACCTTTGCTTAATTTGCCTTGGACTAAACTCACTACAACTTCAAATCAACAATCAAAAATTCCCATCACTCCTCAAGACCCAATCAAGGGTGCTATTTTGATCACAATTGGTTGCTTCTGCTGGGCTGGTTTCATCATTCTTCAAGTAATTAATTAATACCCTTAATTTTTCATACATATTTATACCCATGTATAATATGATGTATATTAATATTGTATATGCAGGCAATTACTCTAAAATCATACCCAGCAGAGCTGTCCCTCACAGCTTTGATTTGCTTCATGGGAACTTTAGAAGGAGCAATTTTTGCTGTAGCAGTGGAGAGAAACAACCCAGCAGCCTGGGCCATTCACTTTGACTCTAAATTATTGGCAGCTGTTTACAGTGTAATTAATTATTTTACATATTCTCTTTCTATTTTTTTTTTTTCAATATGATTATACGTATTAATTGATTGAAATTGCAGGGAGTAATTTGCTCGGGAATTGCTTATTATATTCAAGGAGTGGTAATGAAAAGTAAAGGACCTGTTTTTATCACTGCTTTTAATCCTCTAAGCATGGTCATTGTTGCAATTTTGGGCTCCTTTATTTTGTCTGAGGTTGTCTATTTGGGAAGGTAACAACATCATATACGTACATATATATGTCATTTTTCACACACATATATATGTATATATATATAGTCTTCAAAATGGGTATATCTTTATATATGTGTGCGTGTGTATGCAGGATTCTGGGAGCAGCTGTGATTGTGATAGGTCTATACATGGTTCTATGGGGGAAGAGCAAAGATGCTGCACCATCAACTCTTCACACTAGTGATGAAATGACATTACCAGCAACTAACGACAATCATGAAGAGATTATTCGTAATGGGTCGAATCCCAAGACAACATCATCGTCGAATCAAGAAGAATTTTTTGCATTGGACATGACAAAAGTTAGGCCTACCACTTATGAATCTGCTTAATTGATGATCAACTTTTCTACTAATTGAAAATAGTACAGTAATGAATTAAGCTACCAAGAAGAAGGAGAAGAAGAAGAAGAAGAAGATGATGATGATGATGATGATGAAGAAGAAGAAATAAGTGGTGCAAATTGGAATTGAGTCTTCTGGGAATGATGGGAATCAAGTAATTCCAATCTGTAACCCATAAGGTTAATTTTAAATTAGAGAAAGTAAATTTAATTTTAAGTTTTTAGCTCTTTTTGTTAGGGGAAAAAAACAATAATAATGTGTAGAGAGAGTTTTGAGTACAAGTCTTGAGCTGATCTAATATGTCTTTCTACGTGGATTTCCAATATATCCGTATTTTGATTTCTTGTCTAACTCTCCACTAAACAATTGCATTAACCTTTTTATGTAATATCTCAGATACACACACACACATACATATATATATATATATATATGTACAATGTTTACATAGATACATGCACACACACACACACATATATATATGTGTGTCTGTGTGTGTATGTGCGTGTGTGCATGTATCTCTGTAAGCATTGCACGTTTAAAATATATTTTCCAATAAATTGGTTTAGTTAGTCAACTATACATATGTTTAGGTAGATGGAATTTGTCAATTATTCTAATCTTAAAATCAATAAATGACTCTTACTATATTTAATCATTTGCCTCGTTAATTTCGTAATTATACTCCATCTATCACTATTTTCTTAACAAAGACTATGAAATTGTTATTTTTCACATTCATCGTAAAAAAAATTAATGTACGAATTATCTTACTCATTAGATCCGTAATATCGTTAAGCAAACAATTATTTTAAATAAAACTCATATAAAATATTAAAAAAAAAAATTTAAAAAAAGATATAACACAAGGGTAAGTATTTTTCTTTTCTAGTAAATCAGATCTTGAGTAACTCAGTTAATATATAACTATATGTAATTACTAACTTATGATTTCCTGAATGAGAATATTTATATTGATTTTATTCAATGGACATCATTTTGGTAAGAAGTAAATCAAATTTTATCACATGAATACACAACTTCTTTTCAATTAAGTCCATTTTCGATTCTTGTATTCTTAATCATATGTTATATAAATATATATATATATTTACAATACCTTTTTTTTGGAAGAAAAAATGACACTGAGAGAATTATCTTTTCATTTTTAAATAGCAAATAAGAATATTTTATTATAAACAAATAATATACATATATATATTCTTCATTCTAAATCATACTTTTGGACATATATCTTAAACAATTGATTTTCGAGACTGCTCTAAAAGTATAATTTACAAGAAAAAAATGAGTTTCCATCAATATTTTTTCTCCAAAAAAAAAAAAGAAAAAATTAAAGAGGACAAGGAGGAGAAACACCTTACTCGAACCCTAATTCTAATTAAAAAAATTCTTCGTTTGTTTCGGTATCAATTCATCTATGAATTTCAGAAAAAATAAGAGTAAATTAATTCAATTGTTTCAATGAAAAGAAATGAAGATAAAAATAATGTGATTTCAACTTTTTCTTTCCTTCAAAAAAAAAAAAAAAAGGAAAGTGATTTCTAACATTTAGTTTCCTAAAATAAATAGTAGGAGGAAGGAAGTATATGATATACAAAAACTTAGAGCTAGCTATATTTACAATAAATCCAAATCATCAAGTTGCGGTTTCGTGTCTCCACAAAATATTTTTTTTATGTCTCTGTCAACATCTATTAAAATATTCTGTTCGAGTCTTCAAATTTAAATTAGATAACAATGACTAGTGGAGTCCTATGCTGATTATATATATATATATATATATATAAAAGATAATGAGATTAATTACTAAGTTGGGCAAAAAGACAAGACAAGAGAATAATAATATTACATTATAACAAAAGCTTCAAAAAATTAGGGCAATTTTTTTAGAATGTTTTTTTTTTTTTCTTCAAGTGCCAAAACCCCTATGCTAATTTAAGTAACTTCCACTTAAATTAGAATGTAATCAACACCAATTTGTCGTCATACGTAATTATGTCAATTTGGTTTTCTACCTCACTATTGTTTGTTTCCCAAATCAGAGATCATTAAAAAAATATATATTTTTTAATATCTAGAAATTTACATAACCATAGATATAGTATTTAGATTTACGTTACTTTGACGTGACTACAAGTTTAAGATAAAAATAAAAATTTATATAATCTAGTCCAAACCTAAAAACTAGGTGTTCAATTTGCTCTTCATCCATATGTGGGGGTATTAAAAATTTTGATATGTTTAATTTAGTCTCCCGTTCAAACTAAACAATACGTTTAATTTATTTTAGTCTCTGGTTTAAAACATGAATAATAATATCGTGATATTTTTTTTTTTTAAAGGATGGGATGATGTTTAAAAGAATAGTATTCATTCTATAAATTATACGAACATTAAAAATAAATAATTTTTAAAACTGGGCTTGGGCTAGAATTAGGCCCAAAATAAACGGCCCATGCCAAATTCTAATCACAAATTCGACCCATTATCTTGTAAGATTGGCCCGGCCCAACCTCTGCCTGGTCAAGCCCATTAAGATGTCTAGCACACACGTAAGTAATTCACATACTAATATTGCACTATTAGAATATTATTTGATCCGAACTGAAAGTTGATATTAGACCAGTAAATTTCGTTTGGACTGACATGTTTCAGACTGAAAAATGAACTGGATCGAAAAGAGGAAGAAGCCCAACGGACCCGTGAAATCCAGGTCAGGCCCGCAGCAGCAACCAAACCCAGCACCAACAGTCAAAACGAGGCCGTTTTGAGGCTGGAATCCAGAAGCAGAGAGAAGCTCAAAACGTTTGTGCTGCCTTGCATCTGCAGGTATGCCATGACATTAGTGCTGCCTTGCATATGCAGGTAAGTCCTTACACATATACATATATATATATATACTCGCAAACTTACAAATTTGTGTGATATGTAAGTTCAATTTGCGAAATATAAGGCTTGAGAAGGTGAAAATAAAGAGCCTGCATAGCCAGACAAAAGTAATGCGAACCCTGGTTGCTGTTGGAGGAGCATTTGTTACGAAAGAACAAAGGACCTAAAAATTGCTATGATGACCATGTTTGTAGGATTAAATGAACTTACAAAAACAGAACCAACCTCTCTGCTTCATCACCCATCCCATTATATAATATGTCAAATCCCTACGTTGCAATATATTTTAATTGTATAAAATTTTAATTTGTTGTAAATGCAACTTACTATATAAATGGAAGATGTTGTAAATGCAGGGACTAGTTTCTGGATTGGCTTTTTATATAATGGGCTGGGTGATGAGGAAGAGAAGTCATATTTTTGTGAGTTCATTTAATCCTACAAACATGCTCATCGTAGCAATTTTGAGCTCCTTTATTCTCTCTGAACAAATGCTCCTCAGCAACAGCAGCCAACAAATTGAACTTACACATTACACAATTTTGTAAGTTTGTGTGTGTATATATATGTGTGTAAGGACTTACCTGCAGATGCAAGCCAGAACAAATTTCATGGCAGGAAGAATGTTGCAGATTGCAGATATGAATGTTGTTGTTGTTGTGTGTTTCATTCCTGTGTGGTACAGGTTCTGGTCCATCACAGGCCTAAATAAATAGAAGTTACTTAATTCATGAATTAATAAAGATAAAAAGGAATTGCATTATGATAAGATCCAGAGATCCCGACTGCATCCCATAATCCCCATCACCACATGTATTCCTTTTTCTCCATGTTTTCAATTTAGCTCCATAATTGTAGGAAGTGACAGAATAAAAATTTTTGTATTTAAATGTACCAGCATTATTAATAAAATGGTAGTTCAAGTTTACAATTCAATGCTGCGATAATTCTTGCTCGAAAGAAAAAACTTTTCTATATTACTTATCAGTATCTGACTGAAACTTATCAAATTACGGAACATTAAAATTTCTTATTCTAATAATTCGAATAAAAATATTTTAGTAAAGATCGAAATTTTTTATATCTATAGACATGATTGAATAATTTTTTAACTATTTTTTTTAAAAAATTATACATTAAACTTTAAAATTTACTAGTCAATAAAATATGCCATTTAAACTATACACATATTGAAAGACAATATTATTAGGGGATGTGAATGAAGAATGAAGAGGAGGAGAAGACAGGAGATATGACCAACTTACATTTTTTTTTTAAATAAAAAATTTATACTTTTCAATAATTATGCAATAATTACATATAATAATAATAAAATTAATCTTATAATAAATAATCAACACTATCAAAAAGATAAAATAAAGTGTTGTGTAGTATAAAAGTATGATTTAAATATATGTGTTGTAATACTCAGACCCAAAAAATGGTATGGGATAATTTTTCTTATTAAATTATTTTATTAAAATAATTATTTAATTTAATTTATTTTTATTTTATTGAACTTTTGAGAAAAAAATAAGTTATGAACCATATTAAAAGTAATTTTGAAAAAAAAGATAAAAATTTGAGTTCGGAAGGTATTTTTGAAAGAAGAATTGAAAATATGAAGTTAAAGTGTAAAAAGAAAAAATTCAGCCACGTGGAACAACCCAATTAACAGACTCGATGAACTGGAGCACGCCGCATGTCAAATCATGTTGACATTGGTGCCACGCAGGAGGCCATGCGGGCGATCTGCGTGCCCAACAATTTGATGGCCCAGGTTCAATCCCGGGTGCGTGAACAACCCATATTCATTCCCCCCTTAGGTGCGATCAGATGGAAGAGATCAATCACGATGAATGATTTAGATTTTTTTCCTCCTTAGACGCGATCGGGCAGATAAGATCAATCGCGATGAACAGCAAAGATCAATGCAGGATTGGTATAAATATCTCGTGTCGTAGGGGAACCCAAACCCTAACCACTAGGCCCCGCCAAAGAAGAAGAATCAGGCGTTGGAGAAGAAGGCTTACTGTCAACTACTGACCGCCGCCGCATCGGAGCCACCACTGACTGCCAAAAAAGGTAAAATTTCCTCCTACCCACTCAGAATTCGATTCCGAGCATCACTGTGGCCAAATCGGAGCAAGAGGTATGACGGATGAGCTGAAAATTGTGGGCAAAACCTGACGGAGCTGCAGCGGCCAAAACCTAAAAAATCCTCCGATGAGCCCTTTTTCGTTTTTCATTTCACGCAATTTTTTGATCATTGTATTCATCTTCTTTTTCTGTACATGTAATGCCCAAGTTTAAATTTAATGTAAATTAAATTAATTTAAATGTAATTTTTTAAATTTTAATTTAGAGTAAAAAGTGAAGTAAATTTGATGGAGGATGAAATTGAAAACAATTTTGGAAAAAAGGAGGTGAA